AAGCCCTTCTACTTGTTTAAACACCCCTACCCTTAAGAGGGTGAGATAAAAGCTATCGCGGACTCTTCTTTTTCTTTCTTTCTTTCTTTCTTTTTTTTCTTTTTTTTTTAGCTTTGGAAAGCCAGCATTAGTGTGTAAAGGACCTGCTAAGGTCACACGGTGACTCAAAGGTTGGAGGAGATGCAGTACACTCACTCCCTTTCCCCTAGATCTACCCGTAACAACCAATGATGACACAACTCATTCTGTGTTTGTTCAAGTTCTCATTCAAGTGAAATGTCTCACTTTCTGTAGGAAGTGTTCCTCCCGAGGTGCCCTGAGTAAAAGATCCCCCAGTTCAACCCCTCAGACCTGGAGGTTTTCCAAAACTTGAGCAAAATGTTAGCATATACAACTTCATCTAGAAGTACTTAGAAGGGTCATTAAACAGAGCCTTCATTTTCCAGATGAGAGGACTGAGATCTGGGGAGAGGGTGTGTGTGTGTGTGTGTGTGTGTGTGTGTGTGTGTGTATGACCTATTCAGCTTTAGATGGAAACTGCACACTCCTAGTGTTGTTTATTTGGCTTATCTCTTAAGCTCTTTCTCTGAATATTTTCGCATCTACCTTCAGAGCAGCCATTGCAAGTGATCTTGAATTCTACCACAGCTGAAGTTCTGGGGTTCAATCCCCAGTCACTTTTATCCCATCTATAGGAGGCCCTATATCTATCTAGTGCCTGGAGGCTGAAACCTGGGGCTTCTTAGACAGAATAGCACAGTTCGTTTGAAAATGGCTGCTACAAGGACTTTGATTTTGTTTTCCTCCCTGCTAAGGGCTTCTTCCAGTCATTCTGGTCATGCCAAGGGTCCATAACGACCCCATTTACTAGCCTCAGTGGGAAACTGGAGTTGGTAGGCAAGACGGTCACCCACAGTAAATGGTGATTTTGGTTCAGTTGCCAAATAAACTCCCATTGATAACCGACTGGTGTTTCGTGTTTGTTTTTTTTTTTTTAATTTAATCAATGTCAAGACATAGTCGTTGCGCAGGGGGAAATATTCAAGAGTGGCTGATCCTTAATCCCTACCAGTGGGCCACCCTAAGATCTGTGGGCCCAATTAAGTATGGCTTCTCTTTTAAATCGATGCAGGCTTCTTATCCTTTAGGAGTTAGGGCGGCAAAGGCCTCCAAATCCACTAGATGGCAGTAGTTGGTTAATCATGTAGATAGCGGTTGCCTAGAGAAGCAATTCCCAGCAGAGCGGCCACGCTCCAGGATTTATAATCAAGTCCAGAATGTCTAAATATAAAGATACTTTCTCCCTTCCTGCATTCCCCAAAGATTACTTTCACTCTTTCTAATTGTTATTTAAAAATAACAGTTACGCTGAGCTAGACTATGCAAGTCTACGGCAGAAAAAAAAAACAGTGGCATCCAACCCCGAAGCAGTGGCTGGAGAGTTCAGTCAGCATAGGTCCAGCTCGATTCCGCTGTTGCCTCCTCCTACAAGCAAAAGGTTTCTTCCGAGCCTTTTCTAGCCGCCGCTCTGCAAGCTTCCAAGCCTTCAAATCAGGGACCTTATCCAGATCATGAGCCCCAAACCACAATTTACCACATAACTATGCTGAGCTCTGAACCAAACCCTAATATTAATTTATGGAACCACAAAGCCATTACAAAGTTGCGTTCTATTTTCCTTATAGAAAGAAAGGGAAGAGGGAGGGGTGAAGGGCAGGGGGAGAGGGAGGAAACGAAGTCATATTGAGGAGAGATTTGAACTGAAATAAAATCTACGTTATTTCCTAGCTAGCGCTGTGGAACAGGGCCTTCAGGAAGTTCTCTGACTCTGACTTGAACTGAATGTGCATTTCACAGCCCTGCTCCCCTGATTTGAGCCATGGGTCTCTGAAACAACCTTGATTTCCCCCTGAAGCTGCTTTCAGTGCTCTCCTGGCCTCCAATACTGGAATCTCACAGTAGGGTTGTGTGGAATTGCCCCTGGAATAGCCTTTTACACAGAGACACCCCAACTCTTTTATGAACACTCCTTATTAGGCCATTTTCTTGTTGGTCTTTGTCTTCTCTTTAGCAGCCAGAGAGTCTGGTAGTTGGATCTGAGATTTATGTAGGACACTTGGCTAAAATATAAACAGTGGTTTAGAGAAGGGGAATCTGCCTCATGTCAAAAGTAAGGCTAGGCTGGGGCCCTCCTAGAAAGCTGAATTGGATGCTTATTCAAAGAACAACATTACTGTCACTAAGGATTCTGGCCCAGGCTAGCCAAGGATTCTGGCCCAGGCTAGCCAAGGATTCTGGCCCAGGCTAGCTGGTTGGAGCCTGGCTGCAGAGCACAGTCAGGTTCAAACCATGTCTCAGACCCACTCTTACCTGGGTTAGCAGGGAGGGAGCCCAGCACTCCTTTCATAATTACCTGTGTCCAACAGTGTTTAGCTTTTTGCAAACCAATCACATTTTTTTGTGTCCACTTCATTTAACCTATTAATTGAATAACCCTCTGAAGGCCTTGGGCAGTAGAACCAGGTTTTATAAGGTTTGGAGTTCATACAACTCTGGGGGAAAAGGGACTATAAGAAAATAAAGTCAAGATTCCAAGGATAGTATTAGACAACAAAGGAAATATTGATTTAGAATGACACAGAATGACTCACACCCTTACAAAATGGCTCCTCCAGCCAGGGAGACTAGATCTCTTTCTTCTGAGTGGAGGGCTAGGGAGGTGTACCCCGCTAGCTTCCAGAGAAATCATTCTTCAGAGTGCCTTGGTGACTCTGAAGAGGCTCACATCCTTGGTCCAGGGACAGATTACTATGGGGTCCAACTCAATTGTGAAATCAAAACTTTTCAAACCTTTCGACTCTCGTGATAGTATATACACTTCCCCTCCCAGCACCCAGCACAGAGGCTGTGTGGGAGGATTGTGAACTCCAGGGCAGCCTGAGCTACATAGCAAGCCCCTGTGTCCAACAACCAAGGGCTCTAAACATTTATCAACTCTTGACTTGGTGTGTTTTCATTACAGTATAACAGCTCCCTCTATCACCAGACTGCTCTGAGCTCTAGGGTTACACCTTGAAACAGTGCAGAGTTATTGTTGGTTTGAGTTAAAAAACAAAACAAAACAAAAAAACAAAAACAAAACAAAACAAAACAAAAAAACGAGTCCTTTTTGTAGTCCTGAGACCAAGAAGGAGCAAGGTGAAGGTGGAGGGGCTAATTACCCTGGAGATAAGCCACCTAACTGATCTCAACTCTGCTTGATAGGATGCAGGCTCTAGTCTTGGGTTTGTTTGTTTGTTTGTTTGTTTGTTTGTTTTGGGGGGTGGTACTCTGTAGCCTTGCCTGGCTTTAAAGCTGAAGCAATTCTGTGTATTGGGATTACAGGTTTGCAGCACCATATCCAGCTACAAGCTTTGAAATTTGCCTGTTGCCCTGAACCCTTGAGGGGTTTGATCTTCAGCAAGAAGATAGCTTCCTGAGGGAGAGACTGTGAGAGGATGGCAGGTCTTTCTGAGGCAGTGGGCTATCTGGGTCAGTTCTGGCTAGACTCTGGGGCCTCTGAATGTCCAAATGTCCATGTTCAGTTCTACATGGAGGAGGTTTACCCCTGGAGGTCTTCCCCTTTCACCTCTGAGTGCCCTTCTCCCTCAACACTCTCCTCTGTCTCCTCCCTCCTGTTCCTCTTTGAGTAAGGCCCTATTGTTAGTCATTTGTGTCTTAGAGTGAACTTAAGTTATTTAGTTTCTTCCTGCAGGGGTGAGCAGCAATTCCCTACAGAAGGAACAAAGCTCTAACCTTCAAAGCAATAGGGAGTTGGGAGCTGATGAGGGAGTACCCTGAGTTGGAGGGCAGGGGTGGGGGGGACTGCCTACAATTTGGAAATGGTAGCACAGAGGCAGCTGCTCCAGTGTTTGTAGGGAAGGAAAATAGAAATTGAAAATGAACCATTGCCTGGCATTGTTCCTAGGGCAGATGATTTCAGAAATGCTGTTTGTTCATAGGAATTCTGTAAGGTGGGTATTCAACTTTTAACAGATGATGTAGCCAAGGTAAGAGACAGGTAGGCACAGAGAGACACAAATGTGGGGAAAACCATGTTGGGACAGCTGTCTAGCTGTACCTGACCATGGCCGTGCCTTCTCATGAGCATATTCTATAGGTCTGCTGAGCATTCAGTATTAGGCCTTTTTTTTTTTCAATAAGAAACCTGATACTCAGAGTTGTGAGGTGACTTCCCTAAAGTCCCTGTCACATGCAGTGGCAGGTAGCTTGTAAGTTCTATACTAAGGAAGTGACTTTTGGAGTTTTAGAACAGAACGGAGGAGCTCAGTTCACCCTATCTGTTTTAAGCACACAGCAGGGGCAAGGAGACAGAGGCCAGTAGGTTAGCTCTTAGTAGGTTAGCTTAGGAAGTAGGCAAGCAGGACCACACTCCTTGAATCTGCTGCATCCTTGCTCTCTGCTGATGCAAGAAGGTCTAAAGCAGGAAGGTCCCCAGGCAGTACATACAGTTGCTCTCTGACAGGAAGGTTGTCATTATCAGAACGATGTCAGCTACCTCCTGACAATTTCCTTTCTTGACATTCAGGGATGCTAGGTCGACTTCCTGTCCAGAGCATGTGGGGCCAAACTGAGACTATACGGATGCTCACAACAGGTAGCTGATTTGGGGGTGTGTGACAAGGTTTCAGCCCAGAGGTGACATGATCATAGTCTGTCTTCTCTACACTTGTTTCACCTTATGTCCTGCTTGTTCCTTATTTCATTAGCATGCCTTGCAGATGGCTAATTTATTATTTATAGCTAGCATGCCTTCTGAGGTCTTCCTACAACTCACAAGCCACTTCCTTCCTCATTAGCTACATTTCACACATCTCACCTCCTGCGTTTTGCTCATAAGTGACTTGCTTTCTCTCTTTGCTGCTTTAGTTATCTCTCTACTGCTGGGGAGCAAAATGGCTGAAAACTTCGAAGCTTAAAATAGCAATTTGCCACCCCTCACCCCCAGCAATGGGCAAAGAGATAACTACTTGGTGGTGGTGTTCTTATTATCAGTCAGGGGCATAGCAGCTGGCAGTCTTTTATTCATCCTAGCCTGATGCCTGATTTGGTAGCCAAAGCTGTCTTATGCCTAGGACTCAAAAAAAAAAAATCAAATCAATTCAAATCAAGTTCAGGCAGCACAGCACAGGAGAAGAAAAACAGACATTCAGTCTGCCATGCTAACCACAGGCCTGCTCTTCAGTGAGGCACAGGCCCATAGACAGCCACTTTCGGCCATGTTACTTAGTGGGGCCAAAGGATGTCGCCCAGGGGCCTGCCAGACACATGGCCAGCTTGCAGCAGGAGCCACCACAATGTACAAGTATGTGGTGGTCAGATGGAAGAGAGAGAGAAGGTGGGCAACCTGAGCATTAGAGAGAGAGATGGAACTGAACTCACGGGTGGAGAGGAGTAGCCTGTTGAGAGTGGGCAGCCCTGGCACCTAGAACTAAGGTGAGGTCCCAGCCTGAGCTGCAGCTGAGGGCCATGTCTGGGTCCATGGCTATGTAGTGGCAAGGGTTGGTGTTGATGTTTGTGATTCATATTACCACTAGAGAACATGGGAATGTTCCTGGTGGGGCAGCCTTTGGGGACCACTTCGATGTTCAGAGACTGTTCAGAACTGGCCCAGCTTCTCACTGGCTGCAGCCTCTCTGCCTCTGGGGAGCTGGCGCCCTCTCTCACCAATGGTACCACTCTGGAGAGTAGGCCCTGCATCTCAAACAGGCAGCACACTAGAGCTGTCTCTGGTGGCAGTGGTGTGGGTGTGCCAACCAGAGGGCTTAAATGTGGGAGAGCTGGCCCTGACACTGGTCTGTTGTGAGGTGGTTGCTGGGTGATGTTCTCCCTCACTCCTCTACACCTTTTGTAGTTAAGGGAGAGCTGGGCCCTAGGGCATGAGCGTGGGAGAGCTAGCCCTGCCCCCTCACTGGCTACAGCACTTGGGAGAATGGGACCCTGCATCTTGCCTGTGCAACATAGTGGAGCTGGCCCTGGTAGCAAAGGCATGGATGAACCATCCCTGAGAGGGTGAGAGAGCAGAAGAGCTGGCCTAGTCCCTCAAAGGCTGCGGCACTTGGGAGAGTGAGCCCTGCATCCTGACTGAGCATCGCAGTGGAGCCGGCTCTGGAGCATGGGTATGGGTGAGCCAACCCTAAGGGCATGAGAGCAAGAGAGTTGATCTTGTCTCCTGCCAATGGTAGCACTGGGTGGCCTAGTCAGAGCACCGCTGGAGAATCTGCCCTCCTGGTGCAGGTGAGGAAGAGCCAGGATGATGGTCAGCTCACCACCCATGCCCAGATCCAGGGTGTCGTGGGATATTTTCCCACTACATTTGCAATAAAGCTTAGTGATTGGGCAGTATGAAAGGTAGGCGGAGTGAGGAGTTGGGAGGAGAGAAGGAGAGGAAGGGGAGGAGAAGAAAGGAGGTGATCGACCATGGAGGAAGACGGATGCGTCGAAAGCAGTCCTGGGTAGCAACTTCTATCAAAAAAAATTAGATATTGAGTAACAATTCTAATTGTGTGGGCATCTTGTTAATTGAGCATTTCTAAATACATACATTCTTTGGATAATCATTAAGCTTTAAGAGTCTCCTTTTTACGGAGTACCGTGAGAATGGCAGGTATTATCAGGGGCTCACCCAAGCTCTGCGGAGGCAGCGTGGTTGGTTGGTAGAGCCAGCCGCCACACTGGCGTCTCGTGGGTGCCAGGGCCAGTGTTTCTAGATAGCCGGAGCCGCAGACAGAGTGGAAACAGCGGGAATATGATGGCTGCCCGGGAACAAGCCAGACCAGGTGCCGTATTCTAAATATCTCCCGTGCCACAGGGCACTGAGTTGGTCTGCCCCCAAATCTATATCATCTACAAATGGTTGGGACATGTGAAAGGCTCAGTTCTGCTGATCCAAAGCTGCAAGATCTCCATGACACAGGGCAACAACAGGATAACTTGGTGGAGTCCCAGTGAAGATCCAATGTTGATGGTGTCATAGAAGCCAGAGATCTCAAACCAGACCAATGATTTATTGCAATGAATATTTGCAAGTGAAGATGTGTAGACAGAGGGATATACTGTGGGACACAGTGACATATTACAGCTTCCATGATGAGATGTTTTCTATGCGTTGGTTTGGTTTGGTTGTTGTTGGCTTGCATGTTTTTTATTTTGGGGTAGGGAAGTAACAGGGTCATGAGGGGACGGGCTGGTGAGCAGGACTGGGGTGCATGATGTGAAACTCACAAAGAATAAAAAGTTGAAAAATAACAACGACAATGGACATGTTTTGATGCATATATAGTATTTAAAATTGCACTTTGAGAATTTCATACATGGAAACAATGTATTCCAACCATATACCCTCCACTTCCCTTTTCAATTCCCTCCTCATCTCCCCAAAGTCCTTCTAAACTTCATGTTAGTTTTTGTAAAAGTATTCCACTGAGCCCAGTTGGTGAATATGTATAGGGGAATCCGATGGAGCATTGCCAACCTATTAGGAACCTTCTAGAAACCTATCCTTAACGCAAAGCAAAGCAAAGCAAAGCAAAGCAAAGCAAAGCAAAGCAAAGCAAAGCAAAGCAAAGCAAAGCAAAGCAAACCAAACCAAACCAAACCAAACCAAACCAAACCAAACCAAACTGGTCTCTCCCTTCCCTAGAAGCTATCATCACTACCTCCTCAGCTGGAAGTGGGGCTTGTGTTGTCCTCCGCCATCCATGCTAGACTATCAACCATCCTCTGCCATCCATGCTAGACTATCGACCAGCCTGATTTGCACAGGTCTTGAGTGGATATCCACAGCTGCCCATTCTTTACATGTTTTAATCTCTCACAGTTTCTGTGGGCCAGAAAGTTGGGAGCAGTTTGGTTGAAGTATTCTGGCTTAGAGATCCTCAAGATGTTAGTTAGAACTTAGGGAGGACTGGAGGAGGCACTGCCCAGAGGTTGTAGCCACAGCCAGGATGCTGGTCCTGATGGCAGAGATTCTCAGTTTCTTGGCAATAAGCTTCTCCATAGGGCAGAATGAGTGTCCTTATGAAGTGGCAGCCATTTTCACTCATCCAAGAGATAACAGTGTCTTCTATTAGCTAGCATTGGACATCATCCCTGTCCCACATGATGATATATTATACAGGAGGACATATGTATGATACAGGAGATCAGAAGGCTAGGATCGTTGGTGTCAACTTGAAGACTGACTTCCATAATGAATCTCAGATAACATGATAGTTACCTGTCCTTCTTAAGATTGTCACCCATCCAGTTTATTTCCATAATTATTTAAAGAAATTGCCCATCTTAAAAACAATATGGCAAACTTACACTACTGTCTTATACACAGTAGGTTGTATCCATCTCTCAAATTTTCCTTTTCCCCAGGCTGCTTCCTTTGGATGCTCTGAGTTCTAGGGTTTTCAAAGGGTATTGGAAAGCAATTACAACAGTGGTAATCATCCACCATGATCACTGAAGCAGGCTGCTCAATTAGAGAGTTATACAGGGCAGAGGAGATGGCCTGGTTGGTAAACAGCTTGCTTTGAAGGCATGAGGATCTGGATTCAGGCACCAGAACCCACACTAAAATATAAGAGAAGCAGTGGTGGAGGCGCCAGTGGCATGTGCTTGCTGTGCCAGAGGCAGAAGTAGGCAGATCCTTGGGGCTTACTGGCTAGCCTGGGAACATACTTGGAGATCTCCGGGTCGCTGAGAAACTGTGAGTCAAGAGAAAGGAATAAGATACATGAGAAGCAACACTAAAGTTGTCTTTTAGCTTCCACACACAGATTACACAAACATATACATGCATATATGTTTGAAAACTTGTGTACATATACATACATACAAACATACACAGACACACACACAAGCATACACACACAATAAGCATATACGGACACCCCCACACCCCCACACAAATATACACAGGCACACACACAAGCACACACAAGCACATACACACACACACACACACACACACACACACACACACACACACACACGGAGGGGATTATGCATAAGATCTTTTCAGAGCCACCAGGGAGGAAGTCTGGCCCAGCATCTCAGCTGGAGAAGGCATCTTTTTCCTTTACCTTTCACATGGCCTCTAAGTGGCTGGTTTCTTTTATCGTCTGGGTATGAGAAGTGTAACTGAGCAGCATCTAGAAGTCTTTAATTCAAGGCATGAGTCACTATGGTGCCTCTGACACATCGGCGAGTAATAGCAACGGGCGTTTCAATCTCTTGTCCTCATGGATCTGGATCTCTTAAAGGTCAGGATCATTTCTGTCTATGATGTTGGTCTATGTGGTTTGTTTTTGTTTTTCTCCCTATTCACACACCAGATCTCTTCTAATCATCAGCATCTCTTGGGGTAGGGGCATGCAGAAAGAATACTATGAATTCACTCTTCTTCTGCCCCAGAGCCTTAATTGGCTGACATTATCAGCTATTATTTGTTTACCTGTAACACAAGCAGAGTTCACTCAGGGTGTGATTGGTTTGGTTAAGACCTTTTAGGATTGCTTGACATTGGCCAAGCCATATATTGGCTATTTCAGTGTGTCTCATATTAGTATGGCATTTCTTTATGCCTTGCCAATGGAAGAAGGCCTGAGAATTCTAGAGCCTAGGTTAGGATATGCATAATTAGATTTTTACTTATTCATGACTTCTTTCAAGTGGAGAACGGAATGAGTCTCTTCAGAGGAGACATTCACTAGAAACCTAACGATTTTTATCCTTCAATTCCTTGTATGATATTAGAGTTAGGCTGTAAAATGTCTCCCATAGGCTCATGTGTTTGAACATCTGGTCAATGTTTAATGCTGGTAGTTTGGGAGAGGCTGTGAAATCGTTGGGAGGTGGGGCTTAGCTAAAGTACCTAAGTCCCCAGGACAGGTTACTTGGAAGGCTATACCTCCAGCTGCTTCTGAGATCTGCTGCCTGTTCAACTGAAATCCCTGGACATTATGAGAGTCAAACGAACCCTTCTTCCCTTAAGGTGTCTTGGGTCCTTCGTCAGAGCTATGGGAAACGAAAAAAAAAAAAAAGCTAACTAAAAAGCACAATGCTCATTGGAACTATGGTGCTTTGAGCTTCA